TTGCGGCCGTCCTTTGGTATCGTAATAATGTTTCGAACTGGACTTGCCTAGGTGCCGTTGTTCGACATTATCAAGTTCTGCAGTATTTGGTACTGTGGCAGAGAACGTGTGAGCTGCGTTTTTTTCTCCTGTTGTTTTGTTTTTGCATCATTATTCGAAGCTGGTTCTACGTGAAATCGTAGGGAAGCTGATGATGAGATGACGGAGAGGGGGTTTGAGAATGGGAAACGGGTTGCAAGAGACAGAATTTCACTGTAATTCGCATGGTGTCGATCGGCTCTTCGGAAGTCTATCTTTTGGTATGTATCATGGGAGGAGGTATGAGGGGAAATATGACGGAGAAGACGTACACATTCCCGTGTTTTCGATAGGTGAAGCTAGAATAAGAATTTGAAACATGTTCTATTTGGTATTTGCTCTTGTTTCACTCGCGAAGAAACAAGGAATGTGACTCGCAAGCAGAGCCAAAGAATTGTGCTCACGTTATCCAATGCGGTCTCGCTCTGAAATCATAGTGGTTGCATTTGGCAAGAAAGTAGTATAGTGAGGGCCAAGGGCAAGATAGAAGTACCGCGAAATGCTAGAAGCCACCATACAAACTGTGCGGAAGGAATAACGATCGATAAGCTGATCGTTGAGAAGAACCCCAATTAGAGTGCTATAATTGCCGCATAAAGCCCCCTTCATTATCTTCTACGCCCATATGAATTGCGTAAGATCCTGCAAATCTCCCAAATGTACCATTGCGGACTGAGTTTGTAGTCTGTTGAGAGGCAGACTGGCGCACATAGTGGTCTCTCCATACTATTAAGTCACGGGGACTAGCGTCGCCCCTCCAACGTGGAAATTATTGTAGCCAGTGTTTGATGTGTCACTGCCTAGTGTGCAGGTGAGGAAGGCATAAGTTAAATATGACCCTCCAAACGTCGTATAGGTGTTAGAATCCGTCGTGAAGCTCATGGAATAAGCAGTGTAGGCCGTCGATACCGTTGCAATCTGAGCCATCGTCGTACAATTTTCCACTGCGCTAGTTTGAACGCATATATAAAAAGTACAATATGAGGCCATAACTGGAGCTGCAAGGTAATATGTCAACATATAGGTTTCCGGGTAACATATTGGCAAGTAGGCTTCAAAGGTCATCGCCTGAGAGGGATTAAGAGTAACATTACTGCGTTTATTAGCTCTGCTAAAAAAAAACAGTATTTAAGAATCAAACTTACAGATAATAGCTGCTTGGAGATACTGCCAGAGCCGAATTATAGACGGCCGTGTACGGCTGCGGATGGGCACCTTGCACATTGAGGCGCCACGGACACGACGTAGAGTACGCTGGGGTGAGCAACCCTGACTGAAAGAGGTAAGATAATGATGAGGTAGAGCTTAAGCTGGTTGCGCATGTGAGGGAAGTAGCGGAGCTAGTAGCCGCCGAGGCGCTTGAAGTGGAGGAGCTTAGGACTGTCAAGCCGCTTGAGGAAGATGAGCTGCTCGTGGTCGATGAGCTTGAAGAGGACGAACTGAGTGAAATTGATGTGCTCGAGACCAAGGAGGACGATTTTGATGATGAGGAGCTAAGCGGCATCGAGCTTGAGGACGAGCTTGACGATGAGGAGCTAAGAGGGATCGAGCTGCTTGAAGAGGAAGAACTTGAGGAAGACAAGCTTGATGATGAGGAGCTAAGAGGAACTGAGCTTGAGGAAGATGAACTGAGTGAAGTTGAGGTGCTCAAGGCTAAGGAGGATGAGCTTGATGATGAGGAGCTCAGGGGCACCGAGCTGCTTGAAGAGGAGAAGCTAAGAGGAACTGAGCCCGAGGAAGATGAACTGAGCAAAGTTGATGTGCTCGAGACCAAAGAGAATGAGCTTGATGATGAGGAGCTAAGAGGAGCCGAGCTTGAAGACGACGAGCTTGAAGAGGACGAGCTTGAAGAGGACGAGCTTGAAGACGACGAGCTTGATGATGAGGAGCTAAAGGGAGCTGAGCTACTTCGTGACGAAGAGCTTGATGAGGAAATGCTGAGTGGTATGGAGCTACTGAGCAGAGCCGAGGAGCTTCGTAATGACGAGCTCAGGAGTGTCGATGAACTGGAAGAGGAAGGTTGAGAACTTGGTGCTTGCGAGGTACTTGGAATGGCAGAAGAGCTACTCGAGCTTAACGTGTATGCAGTGGAAGGGATGCTCGAGCTGAGCGTGACCGAGACGATTACGGAGGATGATGAGCTCCATACCGGCGTAGAAGAGCTCCATGCTGATGTAGAAGATAGCGAGCCGCAGGCATTAATATCCCACGATACAGTCTGTTGGTAACATGATAGACCAGAAAGTGAGGTTGGGAAGTTCGGTATCGGGATCGTGGGACAAATGGACATCGACATTGCGAAAAGTGCTTCGAGCAGCGTGGTTGATCGCGACTCAAGAAGCAAAGGAACGTGGCCGCCTGGAGTGCTTAATCCTTGGGGTCCCTCAGGTCTATCTTCTAAAATGAAATCACTTTCCATTCCTCTGATCATTCCTTCCTCTGTTTCTACATTCCACGACAGCGTACTTGTTGTCACACAAAATATTGCCGTCGGCCGGCTTAGCGATTCGCCTAGAATGCTTCGGCCGTGAAATATTGTCTAGAAACAATAAAACTAAGAAGTTTAGGGAAACAGCTCCTCAATTTTTATTTCAGAATGATTCAGAGTCAGACGATAATTTTCAACTTCTCAAGCAGAGGAAGTCAACACTATCTGCCATCACACCACTCGCTTAAATCAGGGGTTGCACTGGGAAGCTTGTACTGCCTCACGTGACACTTCCAACAGAAGAGTACTCTCAAGGTTCTGTATACGTGAAGCAAGTAATTGGGGAGACTGAGCGTCATTTAAGCGCTTGGTAGCTTTATGAGTGATAAAATGTGCTAATGGTAGAGGGAAGAACAGGAAGTACCATAGCACAGCATTGAAGTTGGAGTTCAAAGTATGGACGTAACACTTGCCAAATCGGAACAGTACTCGCAGATAGAAGCTTCAGATAAAGTTGGAGGAAAGAAATATCTAGATAAAAATAACCTGATTGGCTTTAAATATAACCAATATTTGTAGTACAAGAAAATACACAGAAATTTTTCTAGTGTAAGTATAACAGTAACCAAACCCCGATGCGCACAACAACAGTGGTATACCCAAAAAGCTAGTCTCATTACGCGAAAACTTCAAACACTATCTAATATACCATTATAGACTCATATATTGTAAAACAATTTGAGATAGCCACGGATGGCTGAAGCGGGACGTATAAGAGGAATATATCTCGCATCTGTCATTGGTTCTCGGGCTTGAAGATTCCAGCTTTAGTGAATGAGAGAGTGCTGGTAAAAGTAACGTGCCAGCTCTCGAAGCTCATCCTGCATCTCTTTCGTGCCAAAGCAGCCCGTAACGCAGAATGGCCATACCATATAGCGAACTTAGCGAAGCAATCCGGGGTCTGCGAAGTTTCTCAAAACTTTCATCGTCTTGGAAACGCTCTGCTGGACTTCGTCCAAATCGGGATGTGCATCCGAGACAAGCATATGCGGACAGGTAATCGCGGATAGGGGGAAAATACTTGAGGCAACTTAACGATGTAGTTTAGAGGTTGCTGATACCGGAATCATGGTGGGAGACTCAATCTTCAGCGTAGGTACGGCTGCTTGTATTTCGTGCAAATTCCTACCTATGAAGCCCTCCAGCGCGATTGCTTAGCTCCTTTATGCTTAAACTTTTCTTTGTTCCGGAGCCTCTCCTCCTTTCCTCTAATGCAAAGATTTGTGAAATGAGCAGCATTATGCTAGTATCGACACCCACGGGGTGATGCGTTTGGATGTTTCTATCGCTAGCCAGCGCTGATGATCTGCTCGAAGGAGTGATGGCGATCAGGTTGACGCAGAAGAGAGAATTTCCAAGACCATGTATGTACCAAAAATGGTGTTAATTGCGTTGTCTCTTACACTCTCTGGTTCTGCACAGTCAAAGCTAGCCTTTACCAGAGTTTTAATATTAGTTAAACTCAATAACAGCTACTCAAATGCTACTTTCGAATCCTTAGACTTCAGTATAGCCAGTGATGTGATCACAGTTGATGCGGCCTGCAAGAGTATTTGCTACTTATCACTCCCTTGGAAAATCTAAATCTGATCAGAAGTTTGCCCCCGACCTCCTGGGGTGTCTTTTCTTTGGGACCTGGATGGAGTGGCGATAGGAGATTATTGAAGTCACACGGCAGTGCAAGTTTTTGGTTGGAGGGAGCTCTTGATGTAAGATTGTGACCCTTCTTCCATCTCAGTCGAAGGTGGGGTAGGTCACGTGTTGCAGTCAATTAAATGGAGGAGGTTTCGATCGCTGGGGTGGGTTTTTGAGCGAATAATCTCTAGAGGATAATTGTCCTGGCCGCATATGATCGAGCGCTTCTGAGATTTTGATGTATCACCTTTGGGACCCAGTATCTGCTGAAGATCAGCATGCTTGGTGGTATAAGTTCGCGAGGGTAAACACACTGCAGAATGTACAGGGTACACTTGCTTTAGGCATCAAGATGTTCCGGTATTTATAGAGAGACTCCGAGGATACATCGATGGAACATCAAAAATATCTCGTGGACAGAAATATATGATATTTCTGATATGATGGAGATGGAAATTGCGATAACTATGAATAGCTTCATCCTAGAGAATTCATTTCATATTGAGAGGTTGCGAAATGAATTAAAGTGAGCATTGAAGGAGGATTCTGGTGGACGTTGAGGTGTGCGTTGTACGCCTCTTTATTCTCGGTTAAGAATTTGAATTCCGCATCAAGGTTTAGAAACATAAAAATTCTGTCGCAATAGCAACCGAACAGGAGGGTATTAGTGGTAAATCGCTGAAATAAGGCTTTTGTGACTGTGGGGTTACCGGATAAGTGCAACGAGATCGAATTTTGTTTTTATTTTTTGGCGTGAGTCGTATATCATTAAATAAGGCATTTTTTCGTACATTATTCGTCCGGTATAGTGTAGGGGTTGTAAGTTACACTCTCAATCAGGCCAATTAGCATACCCTAACATGTTTCCAGAACATACTCCGCTTTCAAGAACACACCTAAGTTCGAAGAGCCGGAGAGCCCCGGGTTCGATTCCCGGTACCGGAAATGAAACCAGTACTCAATCTCCATTTTTTGGCGGTTTTTGGTAGGTTTTTTGGTTTTATAATAGTGTTTTTTTTGGTCCCAGCTACCGAGTAGCGAACCGAACGTTTACTGAATCTGTTGGTATAGATGAGACGAAAAGCAGAAGATATATCATCAAATGAGGAGTGTATTTCTTCTTTATCTTACACGCCTTTGTTCCGAATCGCCATTGCTCCAATTTCCAAACCGATAAAATGCCTATTATGTCCCGCCACCAAATGCAAGCACAAAGAAGACGCTCACTTCTAGGGTGGCGAAAGCGCCCATTGTACCATTTTACATACTGTACAACATTCTAGGAGCAGAGATATTCCTGCGTTTCCCAATAATTATTTTCATACACATACTCATCACAAATCGTCTTCCGTGATTGGGTTGTCCCCTTTCCAAACCCTCCCACCCTTCGTCCTCCTTTTCGGCCCAGACTCAACAATACTATCCATACCCTCACTTTCCGTGATCACATCAAACTGATTCTTCTTCTTTTTCTTACCGCCCTTGCCCATTCTCCCATCCCGAATGCCCTTTATCTTCCCCCTGCCATCCTCTCCCAATCTTCCCAGTCGTGGGGATCTGGGAATTCTCGTCTTGGCTCCAAGAGCCCAAAGATCTCCCCATTTTGATTTCCGTGCATCGCGGTAGGCAGTTCGGCTGAAACTCTTAGGAACAGTCCAGCGCTCCAGCTCACCTGATGGGGTGCAGAGATCCAGGGTGACATGTCCACGACGTTTAAGGGGCGGGAGAATTGACCGAGGAAGGGATAAAGCATGGAATTTGATGTCGCTTGTGTCCCCAGATGTCTCTCCTTCGATACTGGGTAGGTCGTGCTCTTCGTAACCTTCAAATGATTGAAGAGTGGCTTGGTCCCCTTGCATCAAGGGGGTTGCAGCTTTTCTCGCATCAACACCGCGGCGGACGGCAACATAGCTATATTTGACGTCTTCGTGGTTACGGATTTTAGCCCCTAGTACTCGCTGGAGATAATTAGGACGGATGAATCGTTGGCCAAAATGGCAGAAGTCCTTCCTTCCGGTGCTGAGCCCTGGGATTGGATACATTGGGCACTTGGAGTGATTTGTGCATGGTGCAATGATCATGCCCTCTTCTTTCTCAACAAAGCGTTCAGTGCCCGATGATTCGATCCTGGATTCGAAGGCTTGATCTCCGGGAGACAAGATGTGCGAGTCTAGAAGAAGAGATCTTGCGCCTGCTATAGCTTCAAACCCACGAGGCAATCCTTTCTCGATGAGGATAAGAACACCGCCTTTGTGATCGAGCAGCGACCACAAGTTCTGGACCATATTCTTCCGTCGAAAGTCTTCTTTCAAAGGGAATAACGTATGTGGAGCGATTATGATATCGAAAGCTTTGCGTCCTTGGGCGGGAGATCCATCCAAGTCAGTTTCTGGATTCGAGGCATGAATATAGTCAGGGAGTCGAGGCAGAAACGTAGTGTTATCGAGTAGTCTCGAGATTCGATGCCGGAGAGGGTTTGAACCCGTGAGGACTGTAGTTCGTCCTAATGGAGCATGTACTCCTTCCACTATACCCTCGTCCCTCATAACATCCCATTCTGCCTGTAAGACCTCCCTCCAGGCGATTATACCAGCCCCTCCTGCACCGGCGTCCAACACTCTTGGACCTTGTCCGCCTTCCCGGAAGATCAGGTCGCGTATCCATTCCCTCCCAAGGCGTTGTCGGACTTCCACTAGTGTACTCATTACAGTGGCATATGTGCCTGGCATTACACCTGCAATATAAGCATCTGCTTCGATTTCACTCATCCTATGCTGCGAAGCATCTAACCCAATATGCTTCTGCGGAAGAAGTTTCTTCGATGCGGGCGTCGAAGAGGAATATGGTAAACCCTTTCCACCAAATGCTTTCTCTGCAGCTTCCCTAAGATGTTTCATGTCGGCTCGAGCAAGTAATTCTGTGATAGGCTTTATCATTTGCTCTCTGGGTAGTGACAATGTGTTCGGATTCGTGCCGGATCGCGCGGTCAGGGTATGCGGGTGTGTTCGAACAGTGTCGGAACTGAGGTAGGCATCTGGCTCGTCTTCTTCATGATCTTCAGTTTCTTCCTCCTCTTCGTACTCTTCCTCTTCATATTCTTCGTCAACATCGTCCTCCTCCTCAGCGGGTGGTGCCATTGCTTCCTCCATGTCCTTTTGAAGCCGTGATATCGCATCAATCTCCCTCTGGTTCTTTCCTTGGGCTTGGATTGTGTCATCTACTTCTCCCGACACTTCAGACTCGGTCTGTTCAGCAAGAGCAGCTTCTAGGGCATCGCCGGCCATCAATTCTTCCTCTGCATTCGATAGACCGAAGTCTGTTTCGTCCACTTCGTACTCCGCCACAGATATGCCATCTTCAATTACCGAAAATCCCAGCGCCGGATCAAATTCAATCTCTTCAAATTGTCCATCCTCAGTCTCCTTCAGTAGAACATTCCGTACAGTGTCCTCTTTGACGTCTTCATCTCCGCCAGGTATGTATTCGAGATCCTCCGGTCTTGTTTCGCGCAGAGGTGGGCCATATAATCGTTCGTAGAGTACGTATTCCTCTGTCGAGAGATAATCCTTTGGTAGCGTTTCCCCAAAGGTCTGCCTCGCCTGCCTGACAATCGATTCAATGCTCACTGCGCTTGCTTCGGTGGCTTCTGGTAGGTCGGGCTTGGGTTCCTCTGCTCGAATCGCGGTGGTCGTGAATCTTCTGACGGGAAAGTTGTGGCGAGGCTGACGAGGTCGAAGGCTTTGGGAGCTGTGTCGAATTCGTGCATTGACGCTCGCAGGTTGCGTGAAGCCGTACTCAAATAGAGACAGCAGCTGCAAACGACATGATTGACATGCCCTGGGAGCTTTACGCGCCGTCAACATATCGTTGATCGTTTTGGGGCAGCGATGTCTATGTTGAGAAATTCTGGAGTCGGTTTTTCGAGCTTCACATTTCCTCGCCTGCAAGCCAATCATGGTTCGGCAATTGCCAAGCTCAATGAAACATCTTCGTTTTCATTCTTGACCTATCCACTCGACTACACGCGATATTTTTACAATACGTTTATCTTTCCGAAAGCCCTAGGATCAGCCTAGCAAGATTCGTTCACCCTATTCTGCCTCACAGCCAGCCCCCAACCTACTCGAATTTGATTGCTAGCATCGCCCTGAGCTTCCCAGGGTATCCGGTAAGCTTTCTCACTTTCTGAATTGTTTTGGCCATTAAATCTTCGAAAGGATTCTTTCAGAGAATACCAAACTTAAAGCGTTTAGACCAGAAACCGATGTGCCGGATTTGGCTTGTCTTTCCATGTTCGATGCTGTTCTGTGTCTCCAGCGACTACTTGCCAAACCGCCAAATTAATTCTCCGAGCACTGCAATTTTAGCGTCGAAGGAGAGAGCAAGAGCATACTTTCTCTTACTTGTGTAGGGCAGAGTTTACTTTCATCTAGTCTCGACAACGCTCATATCCTCCCATGTACTAAAAAAAACAAATTTAGTCTCACTTGATGCTGCGTTTGGCGTCTCCTGCTGCTCAAGATTCGATACTGATGCTGTCAACTTACTCGATTGCATCGGACTGCACCAGTGTCCAGTGAAAGTAACGATTATTGCGCAACATTTTTAGCAATTATCGATCAAATAGAAATATTCTCCCTCCAAGCACCCGGGGAGCTCACGGCACTTCATCTGCTCAACTCAACCGATTTCAAGCTCTGTCCGTCAATCAGTCGACATTGGCGACTTCCACGTGGGAGGACTTCTCATCAAGCTTCGACTCCTCATCATTAACGCGGTCTCTTGCTGCCTTCTTCTCATCCCGCTTCTCCAGGTATTGCCCAAGTGTAAATAATGCCCAGACCATGAATATAAAGGCGAGGTCAGTGGCATAGCCCTTCTTCCACCGGGGTGCTAACAGCTGGTCAGAATAGGTTCTCGCAATTACAAATTCGCGGCTTACCTTCTACGGCGGGAAAAGCGGCGATCGGAAACCCGGCATTTAAGCCCCATCCGAAAGTCAACTTCATACTATCAGTGGCAGGACCGCGAAAAGTGATAGGTTGGTATTACCATTGCTCCAGTTGTGAAAGCCCTTGCCTCAGCGTCATCTCTCAGGATGCGATTGACCCAAGGGATCAAGATGGGCGTTACTGGGGCCGTGAAACCAAACAAGTAGAAACACAAGACTTGACTTTGAATCAGTACGACTTCGATGCATTCATGGGAGAGTCTCCTACATTTCAATGCGACTGGAATGTTCCAAATCAGCAAGCACAAGCAAGCGAACAACAATATTGCCTGGTTAATACTCATGATTATCCACAAGGGATATAGCATGCACAGCGAGGTAAGTAGAAGCGTGGACACAATCGAAACAGCTGATACACCTGTTGGTATGGTGTTGATCTGGGGCACCGTCCAGTGTGCTCCGGCTAAATTCTCATCTTTGAGCCAAAGACCCATTTGGCCATTGGGATAACCAGATGAGAGGAAGCTAAAGGCCTCATGTTAGTGAATGTTAAAGCTGGACAGAAAGATAGGACACTTACAATGTGTAAGTCAGAACTGCGATGTAAAAATGCCAAGTGGTAAATAATCTCTTTAACATCGCCACTATTTTTGTCTTGCTGAAATTCACGCTGTCTTCCATACCTTCTTCATTCATCCGTTTCTTAGCAAGCTGGTACTGGTCTGGCGTCAGCCACCAAGGTTTCCCACTTGCAGGTAAACCAGGGAACACGAAGTATCCCAGAATTGCAATCGGTAGACTGATGCAGCCATCGATGATGAACAACCATCTCCAGCCTGCCATTCCCCCGACCCCGTTCAAGTTCGTATATGCGGCAGCTTGCATATAGCCTCCAAACATGACTCCGGCATTGTTGCAAACGTACCAGACACCCGCACGCTTATAGAGCTCGTCGGGACGATACTTCACCCAAAACCTTGGAGTTAGCATACTT